AGTAGGTGAAAGGGATTAAGAATATACTTACTGTTAAAAAAAAAAAAGTACATTTATCATAATGAGCAGTGAGTAATATATAGAGTTGTTGAATAACTATTATACACCTAAAACTAATATAACACTGTATGTTAACTATATTAGAATTAAATTTTTTTAAATTGTATAATGCATTATTCTGCACAGTAAAAAAACAAAAATTATGCTACGTGACACAACATGAATGCATATTACATTATTTAGAATGAAAGAAGTCACAGACAACTTTATATGATTCTAATTACATAAAACCCAAAAAAAGACAAAACTTAATCTGTGTTATTACAAATTGCGATAGTTGAGGAAGACAGGGATAAGTAGTTTCTGAAATCAGGGGAAAGGTGAGGCTTCAAGCTACTGATAATGTTTTATTTTTATTTTTATTTTTTTATTTCTTTTTAAAAGTTTTATTTAAATTTCAGTTAATATTCAGTGTAATATATCAGCTTCAGGTATGCAACTTGGTGATTCAGTATTTATATACAATTCCTGGTGCTCATCACAAGTGCACTCTTTAATCCCCATCACCCATTTAACCCATCCCCCCATCCACCTCCCCTCTGATAACCATCAGTTTCTTCTCTATAGTTAAAAATCTGTTTGCCAATCCCTATGATTGTTTATTTTGTTTCTTAAATTCCACATATGAATGAATGAAATACAGACTTTGTCTTTCTCTGACTTACTTCGCTCAGCATAATGTGCTCTAGCTCCATTCATGTCATTGCAAATGGCAAGATTTCATTCATTTTATGGCTGAATAATATTCCATTGTGTATATATACCACGTCTTCTTTATCCATTCATCAGTCAGTGGACATTTAGGCTTTTTCTATGATTTGGATATATTACATAATGCTGCTGTAAACATCTTATGTAAGGGTGCAGGTTTGCCTTCGAATTAGTATTTTTGTATTTTTTGGGTAAATACAAAAATAGACACATAGATCAATGGAATAGAAAACCCAGAAATGAACCCACAACTGTATGATAATGTTTTATTTTTTGACCTGGATAGTGGTTACACAGTGTGACTTCATTTTGTAGTAATTTACTGAGCTATCATGATTTGTGAGTTTTTTTATATATATGTTATGTTTAACAAAAATTAAAAGTCTTATAAAATGGTTAGAAGCCAATAAAATACAATAAAACAAATTAAAGACTACATAAAAAGGAAAAGTAAACAAATACAAAAACACAGTGTGTCTGAAAAGTAGAAAAAATATATGATAGACTAAAATAAATAATGGCAACCTAAAATTTATTACAAACTCTTCTCCACTGAGTGGTCTTGGTTCCATTTTCATTTTCCCAGTTTGTTTCTTAACACTTCTCCAATCTACCAGTCTATTGAAAAAATACTTAGCTCTTTTAAGGGAATCAGTATCCCTTGATTGCCACATTTGAATTATTTTCTCTTAATATACTTGAAGATGAACCAATCAAAATAGAGAAGGAAAGGTCAGGCTGGGAGGTGGGAGGTGTTGAGAAAAGGAAAAATTTTAAAAAGGAAAGATGTTCAGTAGAGTCAAATATTGTAGCAAACAAAAGAATGGAAAATGGGAGAAATGGCCAACAGTTGAGCACAAGACATTTTTACCTTGAAGATGTTTTGAGTCTACTTCGATTAAAAACATTTTTTTAAATTAATAGGCTTTATTTTTAGAACAGTTCAGATTTACAGAAAAGATGAATATAGAGAAAATACAGGAAATTCAGAGAATTCCCAAACCATCCTCCATTCCACACAATTTCCCTATTGTGAATATCTTACGTTAACATGGTATATTTGTTCCAAATATTCAGCCAGTATGGATGCATATTATTAACTAATGTCCACTGTTCATTTAGATTTCCTTACTTTTTACCTAATGGCCTGTTTTTGTTCCAGGTCTCACCCACAATACCACATTACATTAAGTTGTCATGTCTCCTTAAGCTTCCCTTAGCTGTGACTGTTTCTTAGACTTTCCTTGTTTTTGAGGACCTTGATGGTTTTGAGAAGTACTAGTTAGGTATATTGTAAGATTGGAATTTGTCTGGTACTTTACTCATGATTAGTCTGGGGTTATAAGTTTTAGCAAGGTTAACAACACCGGGACTAGAATATGAGGCCCAGCAGTGTCCCTACTTGCTGTGTCAGATAATCTCAAAACGCTTTGGAACGTACCCCGTTTAATAGTTACACAGCTTGCTGGGCATCTTGAATCCCTTAAAATTATTTGTAAAATCCTAAGTCTGTTACTTTTTTTTCTGGAGCAAAAGCCTCTAAGTTGCTTCACATCTTTGAAAGTGCATGCAACCTGCCCATTATAAAAACTCGGGTATACAGGGTGCTTCTTCTTCTGAATGTTCCTGAATTTGAGACTTGTATTAAAACCTAAATGCTCAAACAGAAATGCACTTTGATCATATAGAAACCATTTCCTTCTCCTTTTTTAAAAAAATATATTCATGAAGTTTATAGCCTTAGTATTTTCACTCTTTAGGACTCAGGGCTGGTGCTTGCACGTGTGGGCGCACACACACACACACACACACACACACGAGGATCTCAAGCAGTTTAGATTTGGGGACTTAAATTGAGTAAAAATCTCAAACTTTGGCACATTAAGTGACAAAGAAATGGTATCTGGCTATTCAAGTGATAAATATTTTTTTTGTAAAATATCTAAAGAGAAGTGAAATAGAAATAAATTCAGTACTTTTCAGTTTTCGAAACTAAAACATACAATCTAGGTCCCTTGTAGACTTTTTTTGTACATAATTTAAGTACGAATTTATTGACAAATGAATTATTTCTATCAAAATACTGAAATTTCTAATAGTATGTACAATCTTTACAACAGGTTCTTCTTGCAAAACGGAAACTGGATGGAAAATTTTATGCTGTCAAAGTGTTACAGAAAAAAATAGTTCTCAACAGAAAAGAGGTAAAGTAAAATAGCATTTTTTTCTCCTAAATCCATTTTCTCAAATAACAAATGTTTTCTGGCATATAATACAAGTGGGTCCTTTACTTTTTTTTTTTTTTTTTTTTTTAACAGCAAAAACATATCATGGCTGAACGTAATGTGCTTTTGAAAAATGTGAAACATCCATTTTTGGTTGGATTACATTATTCTTTCCAAACAACTGAAAAGCTTTATTTTGTTCTGGATTTTGTTAATGGAGGGGAGGTGAGTTTTATAATTAGTTTTCTTTCTTTTTTTTTTTTTGTTTGTATGTTTTTATTTATTTAAGCAATCTCTACACCCAACGTGGTCCTCGAACTCATGACCCTGAGATCAAGAGTCTAATGCTCTACTGACCCAGCCAGCCAGGTGCCCTTATGATTAGTATTCTTATGTTGATAATGTTTAGAAAAAGTAGAAGGAAGTCACAGTTTTTATTCACTTATCAGTTTTTGGAAGGATAGGCCAGCATTAACACTATTATGTTCAAGATTCTGGCTAATAGGCACAAAGCAAGTTAATGAAGAATTGTAAACAAAGCTCTTTTCTTAAGCAGTTTATGTTGTAGGTGGCAGATTCATAAAAGAGCCTTGGTTTGAATCTGTAGATTTCACAGATACTATAGCAAGAATAATATACTGAAATGTTAACAATAAAACATGATTTGTATTTAGATAATTATTGTCTCCACAGTTGCGTTTAAAGATTACTCTAGCCTGTCATTTTCTAAAATGTGCAAACTATAATCAGATGAGATGATCCTCTAATAAAGAGTTCTGTGGTGAAGTCAGTGGAAAATATTTCATGTTCTATCCCATTGGCAATTACCAATATGTTTCTTGGTGACTCACAGTATGTTTCAGCATGTTAAAGACTTTGAGTTCTGCCTTAAACAAAGCAAAGATTTCTTTGAAAATATTTTCTTACCATGTAGTTCCTTTTTGTTTGAACCAAATCTATTAATTATATTCCCCAAAACTCTGAATCAGAGGGATATTGAAATATATTTTGGGAAATGCTACTATCATCATAATAATTACAGTAATAGCTAACATGCATCAAGTGTACTTGATGTGCCCAGCACTCTGGCTCTTTGTATGTATTATTTTCACAACAATTGTTATATAAGATAAAGAAACTGAGGCACAGAGAAGCTAGTAACTTGCTCAGGTCATGTGTTCAGTAAGTATTAGAGCCAGGAATTAAACTCAGGCAGTGTGATTCCAGGATTTAGGCAGCTGACAGTCCCGTTCCTCTGTTGCTCAGCCCCCATGCCTTTGTAATTAGTTTGCTCTCTGACCTATGAATGTCTCTAAAAATTATTCCGGTAGGTAGTGTCATATTTTTATCAAAGCGTCTTTGATCCCCTAGTCCCAGAACAGAAAGAGAGGAAAATAATTATTTCAGCCTTGCTGTAGTACACTTAGCTGTAGAATAAAGGAATTAGAAGAAAGACTAATGTCTATTCTGCAAACCTGAAAGATGGTCAGACACACCTAGATCATTTTGGGTTTTGTTTTTGGTGTGTGTGTGTGTGTTTAAAGATTGTATTTTTAAGTAATCTCTGCACCCAACGTGGGGCTCAAACTCACAACCCCAAGATCAAGCATCACGCACTCTACTGATTGAGTCAGCCAGGTGCCCTACCCCTAGATCATTTTGGGGGAAGATCATAAAAGAATCATTATTCGACCACCTACATCTATGACAGAAGTGCTAAATGCCTCCTCAGTGTAGAAGCAAGACTATGAAGGTTGAAGATTTTAAGGTTGTCATTTTATTTTGTGTGTACATGAGTGCTAGCATATATTGAGAATTTATTGAGGGCCTGGCACTTTGTAATTATTTTACCTGCATTATTTGAATTAGTCAATATAATTGTTTTAGATATACACTCTTCTACCCATTTTATATATAAGGAAACTAAGGCTCAGAGAAGTTAAGTAACTTTTTCAGTGTCATCATGTGTAAGTGTCAGGTCCTGGATTTAATTAACCTAGACCTCAGTACCACTCTGTGTATTTGAAATGTCATGCAAGGCGTTAAATGCAGATCCTCTTGCAAGCTTCCTTTTTTGTCCGTGGCTTCTTCATGCTGTTTTAGGACCTTGCTTCTGAGCTCTTTTTACCCAGTCATCACTCATAAACTGAGTGGCAAAGGTGGAAAGAGGTAGGATTGTGTTCTAAAAAATAGACTTGGCTAGGATAATGAGGAATGAAAAGAATGAAATAGAATATTGGGGTTGGTGGAGGAGGTGTTGAAAGGGCAGTAGTAGGTAGAATAGCAGTAAAGACAAGGAGAACAGATAGAGGTATGAAGAGTATAATTTCATTATGGGTTTCCTGTTGTTATTACTAGTGTTGTCCCCTGATTCTCATACTTAACATTTTAACCTTGATGTGTGATACTTACTTTTGCATGCTACTTCACATCTGTTTTGGAGCCAGGTAGAGTATAAAGAAGTAAGTTTTATGATACGAGGCATATAAACAAGCCTTCCTGAGCCTCAGCTTCCTCATTAATTTTCTACCTCAAAAGAGTTGGGTGGATTTAAATAATACAAGCATATAAAGTCCTTAGCATGCTGCCTTTGATTTAGTAAATAGTGTTAGCTATCATTAGTGAATGGTCAGTTTTTCATTTTGGGTAATTTTCATTACTATTATATTAGACAGATGTGATCAGATCAATATAGCATATTATAATAGTATAAGCCATAGCTAACAAAGGCAGTAAATAGGGCTAAATAGGAGGGAGTATTCCAGAAATAATTAAAGGATAACAGCAGAAGAATTTATTCATTAGTTAGAGACAGAGGCTAAGGGTAAAGGAGCAGTCTAGGTAAATCCCAGGCCAGCATCCACTTATCTACTGTGTCAGGATCTGGTGTAACTGATCTTCACCATAACCTTTCAGAAGAGGTTAAGAAAAATTTGGGGACAATTTTTGTTAAGTCAGAGAAGTGGAACGAATTGCACACAAAAGGAGAAAAATTGAATCCAGGTCTGATCAGCTATAAAACCTGTACCTTGTTGCTTTCCATGGCTTAGAGAGCTGGATAGAAAGTGATGTCATTAAAGGAGTAGAATACCACAGTGGCAGTTAAGTTTGTAAAAGAAGACAAGGGTCTCTGTTCTAGACAAGTTGAGTTTGTTGGCTTGTGAAATAGTCAAGAAAGAAAGCAGGCAGCAGGTCTTTGTAGAAGAAGCCCTAAGCAGAGGTCTAGGTGGGGTATGGCCATATGAAAGACCTCAGTGTTGAGGGGTTAGTTAAAATCACTGGAATGGACTAGGTCACCCGGCATGACTGTGAAGAGACCGAGGACAAAAACCTTGTTATCCCTGCAGAGTAAAGGGGCAGAAAGGAGCAGAGATGGAACTCTCCAAGGAAGGAGACCTAAGGCGAGATCATTGTTTTAAAAGCCAGGGAACTTAGAGGAAGGACATAGGACAAACTTCACCCAGGCAGGTAACCTAAGGAGTAAAGGGAGATTGTAAGTAAGACATAAGTTAAGGATTCAGAAGTGTAAGAAGTGAACTGGAGAGTCCAGCTGCTGCTCAGTTCCCACCATTTGCTACCACATTGGAATTTAGGCTTAATGTTGTAGAGTTTCCTTCTCTCCCCCACCCCCCAGAGGAAACCAGAACTATGAGTTTTTATCCCCCCAAAATTTCTCCCGTTTTTAAATGTTACCAGTTAATTGAGATTTTTCTAAAAACAGTATTTGGCTCAAACAAATGAGATCTGTGGGTTATATTTGGTCTGCCTGCCGCTTGTTTTCAATCTCTGAATAGGGTTTGATTTTTTTTTTTTCCCCAAATGAAAGCACAGTTAAGAAAGGTCTAATGAGATAACCACATGGCTATGGTCTTTGTTGATAATCTTTTCCAGAGTGATAAGGACACTGATGCATTGAGGATTGAGGAGTAAATGAGAGATGAGCAAGTTAGCAAGGGTAAAGAAAGATGCATGGTTCAAGAGAGAATAATTGCTAGGTGGGGGACACACAAGGGAGAGTCACAGTTCTGGGCTTTGGGGCATTTTTATCTCATGTTCAGAATAACCAAAATCCTATTTTTGTATTTATAGGATATGTTTGTTTCACCTTATGTGTGAATTATCTTAATATCTTTCTTTTTCCCCCATTTTACAGCTATTTTTCCACTTACAGAGAGAACGGTCCTTTCCCGAACACAGAGCTAGGTTTTATGCTGCTGAAATTGCCAGTGCATTGGGTTACTTGCACTCCATCAAAATAGTGTACAGGTAAATTTTAATGTATTTCTTGTAAAAATGTCATTTTATTACTTTATTTCAGTTAATATTCAGTTTTGCTTTCCTTTCAATTTAATAGGGACTTGAAACCAGAAAATATTCTTCTGGATTCAGTAGTAAGTATTTTAAAAATCTACTGACTCTCAATTTTATTCTCATTTATGCTTAGTGGAAAAAAGTCTATCTCAAAAGCTCTACACTACATGATTCCATTTATATAACATTCTCAAAATGACAAAACTGTAGACATGGAAAGCAGATTAATGGTTGTAAAGTGACAGGGACAGTGGGAAAAGCAGAGTGAAAAGATAAAGGGGTAGCATGAGTGAGTTCTTTTGATCCTTTGAGGTGTTCTTTGTCTTGATTGTGGTGATAGTTACACAAATCTGCACACCTCTATTGCATAGAACCACACATACCCAAATGCATGTAAAAAAACACAAAACTGGGTAAAATTGGCAATCTGGTTAACAGTATTCTACCAATGTCAGTTTCCTGATTTTGATATTTTACTGCAGTTATATAAGATATCAGCATTGGTGAAGGGTATACAAAACTCTTTGTAATATTTTTGCAATTTCCTGTGTGTCTACAATTATTTTAAAGTGAAATGGTTTTAAAAATTGTGAGTTTATGCCCATGCACTGTTTTATCTTACTGCCCCTGTATTTGTCAGGGACATGTTGTCTTAACAGATTTTGGGCTTTGTAAAGAAGGAATTGCTATTTCTGACACGACAACAACATTTTGTGGGACACCAGAGGTAAGAAATATGTCTCATTTGTCATTTATATAATCATGTTTAAAATGCAAAAATGAATCACAAATTGCATATATAATATTTGAAATCAGAAAAGTAGAATATTTTCTGCTTTCTACTGAAGTAGAATTTCAGCTTCCAGCCACTTGGAAATATATGATAATCATCCCTTCAGAACATTTAAAGTTTACTGATAGTTAGTATTTTTAATTATGATTGCGAGCTACCACAGATAACCCAACAAAGATATAAATTATGCTTATAAGGTTAAAAGTTTACCATATCCTTTATTTTAAAAAAATCACAAATCAGTAATGAAAAAGTCCTAAAGTTGTGGTAATGTTTATACCATTCTAAATGTACTAACAGCCATTGAATTATACTAAGTGTTCATTTAACAGAAGAGAGTAAAGTAGTGGATATGGAAGGAAAAAATTGCAAGTCAGAATTAATCAGAACATCTCACTCTCTAATCATGTTAGCTAGCAGAAAATGTATCCTTCTATTTGAGACAATAATAATAATCCTTACAAGCTATGTTAAAGCCTTGTTATTCTCACTACACACACACACACACACACACACACACACACACGTATGTTTAGTTTATTTTAAACTGTCCTAATTTTAATGTATTTAGTTATCTTAGATGCCAGTAGTATTTCATCTTTATCATAGAGTAGTTGTGAATATTGTGTTGCAATGTGTGATAAAATGGCTCATGAGTCTTTTAATCAAGATCAGAAAAAATTTTTTAACTTAAAAGTGAGAGTACTTTGAAATGTCTTTTTCTTTCCTTCCTTCCTTCCTTCCTTCCTTCCTTCCTTCCTTCCTTCCTTTTCTTCCTTTCTCTGTCACCCTAGCTCTTGTGTATATTTGTAATCATTCTGTTTCAGTTTGTGTATGAAAAAACCTTTTTTTTGTGAATGTGTGTTGATTTCATAGGTAACAAAATCTTTAAGTCCTATAATTTTTAGAAAGGAAACACAAGTTTTTTTGGTCATCTAAATCTAAATGTAATCAGAAATTATTAAACCCTTTTTATATATTTTGCCATATCTTTGGATCACATTAGAAAGAAGGCTTAAGAAATTATTTCCTTATTTCATATGGGAACAGAAAATATATGTCTTGGAATCTAGAATTCAAATTCACCATTTTATATGTGTGAAATTGTGATGAGTTTAAATGTTTCACAAATTAAAATGTGCATAACCATCTAATCACAACTTTTATAAATAATATTAGAATTGCTATTTGTAATTCTCTAGTAAAAATTATAGAATTCTTTTTTCTTTAAAGGGAAAAAACATTATATTTGCTACATTAAAAATTCTTGTTTAAAGAGAAACAATTACAAGTAATGACTAGAGGAATTTCTAAAATAAATTTCTTGTGAAAGACTCCCTGCCCCTCCAGCCCAGTATCTAGTTTACATAGTGTTACAGATTTCTACATTTGTTCTCATCTTCTGTTTGCCTTAATTGCATCACAGTTTATGGAGGAAAGTACTTGAATATGTGTACTTTGAAAAATGTCCCAGATGATTCTGAAGAGTATTATCACCTTGGAACCACTGATACAGGATGAGAATACCTAGCCAATTAAAAATCTAGATGATAGGTTTTTAGTGTCATAGTAACATCTTAAATTTGTTAAATTTCTTAATTATTCCTAAATTTTACCATGAGTTGTGTATCAAGTTGCTCTAATATTTAATGTTTTCCATAGTACCTTGCTCCTGAAGTAATCAGAAAACAGCCCTATGACAACACTGTAGATTGGTGGTGCCTTGGTGCTGTTCTCTATGAAATGCTGTATGGATTGGTATGTATTTCTACTCTTTCATTATTATTCCAGTATATTTTAATTCTTTGAGTTTTCGCTCTCATTTTAGTAATCTGGAGGACTCTTAGTTAACACTAATAGAGCAATAGTAACCTGGTTAAACAAATCCAAAATCACATTAGGGATATGCACACACACACCAAAAAACTTTTGCTTTGTTACTGGTCTTTTAATGTCATTTTTTCTGTTGTACTAATCAGGTGTTCTCATCCCACTTGGATTTTTTAGAAGTAGATACTAGTTACAACATTAATATTACCCACTTTATTTTTTTTTTAATATTATCCACTTTCATTCAATTTACCCCAGTCATCATTCTGCCCAATTTCAAAAAGATGGGAAGAAAAATATTTTTGTATTTATCAGAAGATAATATCTTTTGGGTTTTGCCTTGTGTTTTATTTTTATAGGATATAATACACTGGTGCTCCACTTTTTCCACCATTGGGAACTTCCTCTTGCCTTTACCATAAACACCATGTCTGGAAGATTTTATTGAAAAAAAAAGGGATGTTCACTATGAAATCAATTGTCCTGGTTTTTATTAATTAAAGACACATAAGACCAACCAGAGCTTCTGATTAACATGTGTAAAGTTGTTCTACTGTATTGATTAATATCATTCCAACCAAAGCAAACAATTTAGGCAGTCAGTTTACATATTCTTACAGGAACAACACATGTTTTTCTTTAGGCTTTTTGAGATTTTTAGAATAGTTTCTAGAGTCCTTTTGTGGTCCCCTGAGTATCCAGCAACCTCGTGCTGGGAACTGTGCACTCATCTCCTATGCTGCTGCCCACACAAAGCTAAATAATACCATCAGCTGAGACCTGAGCTGGGGCTTGGTTTTTTTGTTTGTTTCACTTGTTTTGTGTGGGCTTTTCCCCCCCAGTGAAAACTGGGGAGCTCTTAGTGTAATCTTAACACATAAGGCACACATTAGAACATTTGTCTTATGTTGCAAACTTTGAATGATAGATTCCTATGACAACCAACACTGTCTCTTCTTTGCCCTTGCTTATTAAAAGAGTCGATTTCCTGGTTATGCTAGTGACTTGGAATACCTGATACACCTTACTTTCTTTAACTGCTGGATATTTGCCATCCTGTTATCTCTGAATCTTTCAAATTTCTTTAGAGGACCATGAAAATGTAAAATATTATCCTTGTATGTAAAATGCTGTTGCCTCAAAAGGGAACATTTGAAACATATATTTCATAAATGAGACTTTATTTAAAAATGAAGTTCAAGGGTGACCCAGTTAAGCATCTGACTCTTTTTTTTTTTTTTTTAATTTTTTTTTCAACGTTTTTTATTTATTTTTGGGACAGAGAGAGACAGAGCATGAACGGGAGAGGGGCAGAGAGAGAGGGAGACACAGAATCGGAAACAGGCTCCAGGCTCCGAGCCATCAGCCCAGAGCCTGACGCGGGGCTCGAACTCACGGACCGTGAGATCGTGACCTGGCTGAAGTCGGACGCTTAACCGACTGCGCCACCCAGGCGCCCCTAAGCATCTGACTCTTGATTTCAGGTCAGGTCATGATCTCATAGTGGTGAGATTGAGGCCTTATGTGGCGCTCCATACTGAATGTGGAGCCTGCTTGGGATTCTCTCTCTCTGCTCCTCCCCAGCTCACTTGCATGCTCTCACTCTCTCTCTCAAACCTTTAAAAGATTTTTTTTTTAAATAGAAAAATGAAAAAATGAATTTCAGTTTTAAAAAGTAAAAATGTGGGGCGCCTGGGTGGCGCAGTCGGTTGAGCGTCCGACCTCAGCTCAGGTCGCGATCTTGCGGTCCATGGGTTCAAGCCCCGCGTCAGGCTCTGGGCTGATGGCTCGGAGCCTGGAGCCTGCTTCCGATTCTGTGTCTCCTTCTCTCTCTGCCCCTCCCCCCTTCATGCTCTGTCTCTCTCTGTCTCAAAAATAAACGTTAAAAAAAAATTTTTTTTTAAAGTAAAAATGTTACAGGGTGCCTGAGTGGCTTAATCGGTTAAGTGTCTGACTTCAGCTCAGGTCATGATCTTACAGCTTATGGGTTCGAGCCCCATGTCGGGCTCTGTGCTGTCAGCTCAGAGCCCTGGAGCTGCTTTGGACTCTGTGTCTCCCTCTCTCTCTGCCCCTCCCCCCACTGGTGCTCTGTCTCTCTCTCAAAAATAAATAAAAGTGACAAGCCTATAACTAACTCCCTTAACTTTAAAAATTATTTTTAGTTTAAAACTTAACTGCATGATTAGTTAATCCTCATGTGGAAGCTCTACAGGTCTTTAAGCTGTAGCAATAGAATTGTAATTCTGCACAGTACACCCATAATACTGCCATTACCGCAAGTACTTAGGAAGGAGCACTATCTTCAGGTCTTCTCTCCTAGCAATCTCTGTTTTAATTAGTTTATTCTGAAGTCTCAAGAAATTATTTAATGTTTGATCTGTGTGGAATCTCCGCAATAATTCTTCCATTATGCTTCTGATGAGGTTGGTGGTTTTCTGTCAGATACTATTATGCAGTTTACACCTGTCTGCAGGGTGTTCCTAAACATTTCAGTGACCACATAGTGGGCTCTACATGATGCTGGCTTTAAAATTTTTTTTTAACATTTATTTATTTTTGAGAGACAGAGCGTGAGCGGGGGAGGGGCAGAGAGAGAGGGAGACACAGAATGCGAAGCAGGCTCCATCCAGTCTCTGAGCTGTCAGCACAGAGCCCGGCGTGGGGCTTGAACTCATGAACCATGAGATCGTGACCTGAGCCGAAATCAGACACCCACCCAACTCTTGATTTTGGTTCAGGTCATGGTCTCACAGTTCATGAGAACGAGCCCCACATCTGGTTCCCTGCTGACAGTGCGGAGCCTGCTTGGGATTTTCTCTCTCTCTCTCTCTCTCTCTCTCTCTCTCTC